TCGATCACGGCACTGGCATAATGGAGATGTGCGGCGGGGAGGCGCGGACCAGCCAACATGCTACCTGCCGCCACCTCAAGGCGGGCGCAATTTTCGACAGGGTCACAGGCACGAGAGCCAGCTGAGAGCCGCGGAGCAGCACGTCCGACAACACTTGCCCCTGGCTCCCGCCTGCCGGCCTTCCGGTCGCTGGGCCGCCAAGCCTGGTTACGATCCCACGAGGACGCAGCACCTCATGGCCGATTTTGCGGTTACGTTGCACGGCTGCAACTGCAGCTGGGCAGCTATTTCGTCAACGAGCAGCCTGACCCATCGCGACTTTGTGACGAGCCGCCCTGGCCAGAGGTTCCATCGAGCGCAGGCGCGCTTGAGGTCATCAACGACCAGTGTCAACCAGGACCTTCAAGATCGTCTCGGGCGCATTTTGAGGAAGACGGCCGGCCCTGTCTCCAACGCCCTGGGGATCCTCGAGCAGTTCGCGAACCTCGGGCGCACCGACAAGCATGCTCACGTGCACGACGAGGGCCGCAACAGCACCGACACCCAGGTCCAGCCATGGAAGATGGCCGAACGGCTTGTCCAGGGCATCGTGGACCTACGCTGGCGCCTGCGACCGCGCGAGGCGATTTATGTTCGCGCGCGCGATGTCGATGCGGCAGTCTTTCCAGCAGTGGCTTCACGGGCGAGAGATCAGAAGTGCCATGGCCGCTGAGCGCGCGCGCGCTACACGCGCAAGGCGTGACAGCGCAATACACGATCGGACACGCCCATGCACTCCCGAGGCCCGGCCACCTGCTGGCGCCCTCACAGCGCTTCAATCCACAGGGAATGCCCCGGTTGCCGCGAGGAGGAGGAACGCGACCATCCGGCGCGCGCCCACAAGCTCAGCAAGCGTAGGTTCGCGGGCCCCCATGCACGGCCGCGCCCAGGCACGGGTCAGCATCCACGATCACCAGCGCAACCTGGAGGACCGAGCCCTACCACCGATCAGCAGGACCAGCTGCCTGGCGGAGCCGACCTCGGAGCAGCAGACGAGGCAGCGCTAGCGCCGGCGCCAGCCAGCCAGCGCACCAGGAGAGAGCTCATCCTCCAGCGCCGGGGCTCAGGGTAGTAGATCAGGCAACTGCGCTGCCGCGCCACGACTACAAGCCAGTCCAGCAGCGGGCGCAGCACCGAGACGAGCAGCACCACGCGTCGCCGACGCTGCTGTAGGCAGCCCAACGCTTGCAGATTGGACTCGCTCTGATGCCGCCGCGCCCTTACAAGCGCGGCGCGGCGACTCGCGCGAGACGCGAATTCGAGGGCCGCGCAAGTTAAGTCTCTTGCGGCGGCTCGCCAATAAGGAGGAGATGGCGCGTGCACTGCAAGCAGCAAACATGCCACGGGCAATCCTCGACCTCATCCCCACGGTGGTCAACAACTGCGGGGAATACAACGAGTGGCTTCCACCAGCGCACCGAACCATTCCCACGCTGCGTCTTTCGAAGCGAGTCAGCCAGCACGTTGAATGCGAAATCTTCCCCTACAAGGATCGGGCGATGCTGCGCCTGTTTCGCCGCGCCTCAGAGCGGCGCAACGGCCAGGAGCTCACGGAAAGATGCGAATCAACGTTGCTGGCAGCAATGTAGAATTCACTGTGGACAGCGAAGGTCGTCGAGGAGATGACAGGAGAGGAGCCCAGGTGGACATCCGCGCCCGTCGCCAGCACGCTCCTTTCATATAGCGACGCGGCGCAATGTCACGGGGCGCGCTTCGCGCCGCCGAGGAGCAGCTGGAGCGCGATGGCACCACTGCCAACTTCGACCCCATGCTGGCCCACGCCATCTTCGCGGGCAACAACCTCACGCACGGCAGCGGCGCGACGCCATGCAACGTCGTTTTTGGCTGGCAGCCCTCCACGATGCCACCGCCCGAAGCAGACGAGGACGGCGGGCGACTATGTCGCCGGAGCCAGACAGGCTGCTGGCGGCGATGTGGATCCCAGCCGACTGCAGTGGCGCATTTCTGATATCGCCTTGCAGCGCATGATCGAGGCCGCTTCGACCTCTCGCGCCAACCGCGCCCTCCAGACCCGCGCCACCGAGACTTGAGAAGGACGCTTCAACGTGGGCGATCAGGTGGAGATCCACCGGCCTCCAAGCACGAAAGGGGCGTCAGGCTGGACAGGTCCTGGCACTGTCCTTTCTGTGGTCCTGGCCAGAGGCAAGGGCGCGGTCGAGATGGGCTGCAGATTGCAGGACGCACGGATCTGGATTGGCGCTGTCTTCAACGACATGGGCACCGGCATGGCGCGAGCAGGCGCAGCAGGCCTCGCCTTGGATCGCGCGGACGACTTCCTGGAGCACATCGCGCCAGGCTCAGGAGCCAGGCGCGTGCAAATGGACGCACCGGAAGGGGTCAGACGACAAGACCGCCAGGATCACCCGGCGCCGCGCGGCGTTGAGGGGCTTCCGCGACACGAACGACGGACCCTTGGCGACGTTCGCTGGGGCGGCGAATCGGGCGTCTCAGCGCGTTCTGCCCCCAGAGGCTGCCAGTCGCCCGGACCGGGTGCGCGTCGCCGTGGACGTCGAGAATGCGTTTCTGCAGGGGGCGACCTCTGCCGAGATGCAGGAGCGGGGGGAGGCGCCATGGGGGGGGAGCTTTACCCTGCCGCCCGGCGGTGCGGCCAACCCCAGGAAGGCCCCAGTCTACGATTTCTTCGACGAGCGGGCCGAGTGCTTGCGCCGCATCAAGCCAGGAACGGGCTGCAAGGATGCGCCGAGGGCTCTCTCCACGAAGCTCGCCCGGGTCACGCGCTCAGAGGAGTGCGGCACCGACCGGCGCGGCGGGGCTCGGAGCTCGAGGTCGAGCGCGAGGCGTCCGACACTTGTGGTGCCAGCGCCCCAGAGCTAGCGCCCATGTTGTTCAAGCGCGTTGACAACCTCAAGACAGATGGACGCCAGGAGCACGTCGACCGCCCCATTAGCCACATCGAGAGCGTCTTCGGCAGACTGAAAGGTGATTGCGACGACTTCACCAACTGCGGTGCCCACCAACACCGCAGCGCCGACGATGGCCCGACGCTCGACCAGGATGAGTGCGTTGACGCATTGATCTTCATCGGGCACGTCGACCTGGCCAAATCAGAGGCCGACGACCGGCCGAGGGCCCACTCCCGCACCTCTTTGTCTCCCTCCTCGGAACAGCTGCCCATGCGCCGCTCGCGCAACGCTGCGTTGCCGTCTACGTTGTCGCGCCGCAGCGGGCCGAGAACAAGCAATTCATCAGGCGCGCCATGCAGCCGCGCGCAGTCGCAACTGGATCTGCGCCCGCAGCGACGGCTTCTCCAAGCGCGACGAGGAGACAGGATGCGGCATGGGAGGCGCCGCGCACATGCGCCCGGGCAAAGGTCGCAGCACTGGTCAACAGATCTGTCATGCGCTCGACTCTGTGAGTCGATCGCGCAAATTCGCGTGTAGATCGCCATTCGCATCCGAGCTACTCGCGGCATTTGGGGCCGCAGACGGGCCGCGGGCACGCCTGCTCGCGCCCCTCGAGATGACGCGAGGGTCCGTCTCAGCAGGGGAGATCAGGAGGCCGAGGGAGAGGAGGCAACGCCGAGCTGGTCGTAGACGGCGCGCCCGCATTCTCGGCCCTGACCGTGGACCACGCGCGCCCGCCGTCAGGGAACAGCATGGCAGGCCACTCCTGGAAGCTAGCGGACCAGTTTCGCACCCATCAGCTATCCGACATGGGCACCCGCGACACGCGAGCTGACCCCACGACGAAGGGGAGCATCGGCAGAAATCTCATCCTCGACGTCATGGAGGGCAAGCGAGGCTAAGCGAGGAGCGCAACGAGAAGGCCTCGCCAAGCTCCAACAGCTACAGCGGCCTCACCAAAGACAAGGACGACGGGTGACCAGATTGCGGACGCTTGCGAACTACGTTCGCGATTGCGGCGTCGGCGCACCGGGCGCGGGGGACAAATGGCAACAGAGAGCCGATGTGGAGCAAGGCGAAGTATGTTCGCAAAGCGAAATAGCGAGCCACTCCGCATAAGGCAAGCCGCGTCCGCAAAGTGCAATATTCTGAGTCACGTGGATGAGAGGTTGCTCTCTTGAGCTCTGTTCGACAAGCAGCAGGTGAGTTGGTATGCTTTTTGCGCTGCCAGGCGTCTGCTGCTATTGTTGGAGGGGTTGGTTGAACGGCTTCGGCTAGCCCCATGGTCAATGACAGGAGTAAATACACCCCTGCCATGGGCGCCGTGCAAAAGGTTTTTGCGGCTGACCCCGCGGGGGCCAATGTGCCTTCGGGCGGAGCGAAGTCCGCCAAGTACGGGACCTGCCGACAGGTCAATCCACCACTGCCGGCATTGCAAGTGTTTAGTCCATCTGTGGTTGCTGGTTGGTGTTTTGGACGGTTTGCGCCCGGGTTGCCAACGAGGCAACGGACACGTTTGAGCACCAGGCTCGAACGCTAGCTTATTGGGCAACAATGCAGTCAACATACTTGTAGCATAGCAGGAAACAAGGTTTGGCCATGGGCGCTTGGCGCAAGCCTGGCCAGGCTCCGCACCCGCTCTACATCGTTAGACCGCTTCTCTTATACACCGTTCCGCTTGACACACAAACGAACATATCTTTTGTCACCGCTGCACATGCTAGCCTCGCTGCCCTACCGCTCTTCCCCGCCTCTCTTGCTCTTCGTCCCCTGCTGTTTGCCCTCTTGGGTCGTCCCCTTTTCCGTCATTTTCCCTTGCCCCCAGGGAAATCACCCCTCTTGGTTGGCGCGCCACCTTTTCAACACCAGCCCAGCCCTCGGGGGTTGAGCTAGGTGTGACTTCGTTCGAAGTTCATATAACTATCAGGAACCAAAAAGCCAACCTGGACGAGGAGGAGGTGGCGGAGGGCGAGAACGGGGGACGAGGAGGGGCCCCTGGCCAGTACCGCCCCCTCTGGTCTCCATTGGCGGGCCCACCCGGCCGGCGGGGTTGCCAGGGCGGCGGCCGCCGCCGAGGTGCTGAGTTTGCGGCCCGTCCTCCGGGAGGCGGCCCGCTCGCCCCCCTTATTTCTCCCATTTCCGCGTTCCCTCTTTAATTCACTCTTCCGCTTTCTCCATCCCACCCTCCTCGTCCCTCGTCCTTCCTCGTCCTTCCTTTGCCTCCTCCATCCCCGCCTCCTGGTGGATAATTCTCCCCAGTCGCACCCCGAGGCGTGTCAGTACAGTCGGCCGTGATTAGTGGATCGACCGTGCGAAATCAAGGGTATTCGATATGTCCTGTGCATCTCGCGTCGTGTCCTCTGCACTCCTGGGGCACGGGCACCCTTGTGTCTTGTGATTTCTGAGAGTGTCGGTGGCTTGGCCCGCGGCGTTTTGGTCACGTCGCGCCGCGGGGAGGCCGCGGCCCTGGCAAAGGGTACCTTTGTGTCCTCTCAGATTTGGGGGCTCATTTCGCTCCGGCGAGATTCTGATTTCAGCGCCGAGCCGCCAGCGCCGCGGCAAAAGGTATACTCTGGGATTCTGGGATGTCCTCTGAGTGCGGCCGCGCCGCTTGTGAGCCAACGACGCGTTGACTCGAAGTCGCCCCTGCGCAGCAGGGTACTCCTGTGTCACATGTGTCCTGTAATTGCCCAGCCCTGCAAGTTCATCGACGCTTTCTGGCAAAAGCCGCGGGGCGCGCAAAGGGTACCCTGCCGTCTTGTACATTGGTTTCACTTCACCGGGCTCCTGGGAGCTGCAGTGGAGGCGCGCGCTTGGCGGAGTCATGCGGCCCAGAGCTCGCGTTTCCCCAGGGGCTGCAATTTTCTTAATTCTCACCTTTCGGTGGCCGCCCAATTCAGTCAGAACGGGCCTTCGGGGTCGCCCAGGGCGTACATACGGTTTGGTCGGGCAAAGTTGTGCAGACAACCCCCACACACAGGAAGAGGAGTGGAGGGGGAGGCGGAAGGGTGTAGTAGTGGAGGGAGGGGAGGAAGTATAGGGGGAGGGTGGAGACAGCGACGAGGGGCCCCATGTTGGCGTCCAAAACACGAGTGGAACAGTTTTAGTGGTACACGGTTTTCAGTGTGACACGTGTCACGCTTGTGTTGTTTCACAGTGTATGGCCTCATGCTGACATTCAGAATACAAGTGGAACATGTTTAGCTGTTCTCACACGGTTTACAGGGTGGCACGTGTCACTGTTGTGTTGTTTCACATTGCATGGCCCCATGTTGGCGCTCAGAATACGAGTGGAATGATTAAATGTTTTCCTCGCACGGTTTTCGCGGAGACACGTGTCACGCTTGTGTTGTTTTACCGTATATTGTTCCATGTCGGCGTCGAGAGTACGAGTGGAATACTTGTTTTTTGTTCGCACGGTTTTCGGGTGACACGTATCACCCGTGTGTTGGTTCACATTGTCTGGTCCCACGTTGGCGCCCAGAGTACGACAGGACCTATTGTGTTTTCTCGCACGGTTATACGGGTGCCACGTGTCACCCTTGTTTTGTTTCTCATTTTATGGCCCCATATTGGCGTCCAGAAAATGAGTTGAACGTCTGCCTTTATCACACAGCTTTCCGGGTGATTCGTGTCACCCTTGTGTTGTTTCACACCGTATGACCCCATGTTGGCGTCCAGAATACGAGTGGAACAGTTGGTTTATCTCACATTGTGTTCGGGGTGACACGTGCCATCCTTGCGTTGTTTCACGTTGGATGGCCCCATGTTGGCGTCGGGAACACGAGTGGGGCAGTTCTGATGTTTCTCACGCGGTTTTCGGGGTGACGCGTGTCACGCTGGTGTTGTTTCACATTGTATGGCCCCAAGTCGTCCAGAATACGGGTGGCACAAGTGATTTGTCCCAAACCATCTTGAGGTGTTTGGTCTTCGTATTGAACAGACGGTCCCAGCGTTCTTCCTTCGTTCCTCTTCCCCTTCCTCCCCATCATTATCGTCATCACCCGTTTCCGCACACCCCGCACACGTTCCGCACACCCCGCACACGTTTCGTGGCCCCATCGGAAGCTCCACCGAAGGCCCACATGCCAGCGTTCGCATGCGGCCACCGCACCCATTTCGGCACATTCCTCACACGTTTCGTGGCCCCACAGGGAGCCTAACCGACGGCCCAAATGCCAGCGTTCGCATGCGGCCACCGCACCCATGTTGACACACCCCTCACTCGTTTCGTGGCCCCCCAGAGAGCCCCACCGAAGGCCCAAATGCCAGCGTTCGCATGCGGCCACCGCACCCATTTCGCCACATTCCTCACACGTTTCGTGGCCTCACAGGGAGCCCAACTGACGGCCCAAATGCCAGCGTTCGCATGCTGCCACCGCACCCATGTTGACACACCCCTAACACGTTTCGTGGCCCCACAGGGAGCCCCACCGAAGGGCCAAATGCCAGCGTTCGCATGCGGCCACCGCACCCATGTTGGCACACCCCTCACGTTTTGTAGCCACACTGGGAGCCCCACCGCAGGCCCAAATGCCAGCGTCGCGTGCGGCCACCGCACCCACGTTGGCACACCCCTCACACGCTTCGTGGCTCCACAGGGAGCCTCACCGACGGTCCAAATGCCAGCCAGCGTTCGCTTACGCCCACCGCGCCCCTTGTGGCACACCCCATCACACGTTTGGTAGCCCCATAGAGAGCTCCTCCGAATGCGGTGCATACAACAACGGCATTCGCAGGAGGAGGAAAAAGAGACTTGTTGAGGTCTTCTCGGGCATACCGACATTGTCTGGTGGCTTTCGGCCCATCCCGCCACCGTGCCTTGGACCGATCGTTCGGCAACTCGAGGCCGTCTTGGACCGTCTGAGGGGCCTTTTGGGCCCTCTTGGCCAGTCTTTGGGCTTGTTCGGGCCATCTTGCGACCAAAATGCACGAACGAAACCAGAAAATGCACGGGGAATGGACGTCCAAGCGATGGCGAGGAGATGTATGGCGCGCTTCCAGCAAGCCTGCTGCCCGTCCCGATCTGGCCAATGTCCTCGCCCCAAGATCTCTGACGCCGCCCTCGGTGGTGCCGGGCTGCCTCAAGCACTCAGTGATTGGGCGAGAAGCAGGACAGGCAATTGGCGCGGTGATATCAGCACACGCGGGGGCGGTGATATCAGCATTCGCGGGGGGGCAAGACCTGAAACAGAAGTTCGGTATCGGGTGTGTTCTGCGCTTAGGCCAAGCCCTTCCTCGTCCTCCTCCTCATGCTCTTTCCTCCAGCTCTCTTATTCAATCCCGTCTACTTCTAAGTGACTCGGCCCTGTCGCACCATCAGGCATGTCCGTAGGCCAGGTTGGGAGTTTCCTTTGAGTTTCCTTTACAGCTTACGATATTGAAGCTCAAACCAAAACCACAGCAGGTATAAGGATGAAGGGTCGGTGGTTTCCAAAAGGGGGCTCTCATCTCAGTGCCGCTCATATTCGGTGTTAATGTATTCACAAGCTATAAGGATGGAGGCCACTTTGTTTTCAAGATGCGGTTCACGCCATACCTTCGCTCGCGTTCGCGTTTACGCAACAGCTGCACGGATGGAGGGGGGTCGAAATGCGGTGTTCGCTTTAGCGCCGCGCACATCCGTTTCTAATGTTTCAATAGTGACGAGGACGGAGGCCGATTCGATTTCAAAATGCGGTTATCGTTCAAGATGTTCTCAATGTGTACGGCCCGGTGTTCCACATTATGCAGCAGTTGCACCAGCAGAGGACGGCTCAGTGGCAAAGTAGGGTTCTCATTTCATATTATCGCGTAAAAAGTTTGGCCAGACGTTTTCAAGTTTGCAACGACTACACGGACGGAGGACAGAGCGGTGATCGTTCGATATTTCGTCATGTTTTTGTCATCCGGTTTCCTTGCGTTTTTGTTCCCCACATGCTTAGTGGGGTTATGGTTTTCTTCCCTGCCGCGTCGCACCCGCGTCTCACCTCACACCTCCCCTCCTCCTCACAGCACTGCTCAGCACAGCTCAGCTCAGCTCAGCTCAGCACGGCACAGCTTAGCACAGCTCAGCTCAGCTCAGCACAGCACAGCACAGCGCAGCGCAGCACAGCACAGCTCACCGCAGCACAGCACAGCACAGCACAGCACAGCACACAGCACAGCACAGCACAGCTCAGCTCAGCACAGCACAGCGCAGCTCAGCTCAGCTCAGCACAGCACAGCACAGCACAGCACAGCTCACCGCAGCACAGCACAGCACAGCACACCACACAACACAGCACAGCACAGCACAGGCGTGGCACAGGCGTGGCACGCATGGCATTTCCTCGACACCACAGGGGGGGAGCTGTGGGTGGGGACGCTATCCGTTTCGGGCTCGCAAAGCGTGGCAGGCGTGGCACTTCCTCGACACCACAGAGGGGGAGCTGTGGGTGGGGACGCTATCCGTTTCGGGCTCGCAAAGCGTGGCAGGCGTGGCACTTCCTCGACACCACAGGGGGGGAGCTGTGGGTGGGGACGCTATCCGTGTTCGCAAGCGTCGTGGCACTTCCTCGCATCCCGTGCGGGCTCGCACAGCGTGGCAGGCGTGGCACTTCCTCGACACCACTCTACACACACAGGGGGGGAGCTGTGGGTGGGGACGCTATCCGTTTCGGGCTCGCAAAGCGTGGCAGGCGTGGCACTTCCTCGACACCACAGGGGGGGAGCTGTGGGTGGGGACGCTATCCGTTTCGGGCTCGCAAGCGTGGCAGGCGTGGCACTTCCTCGACACCACAGGGGGGAGCTGTGGGTGGGGACGCTATCCGTTTCGGGCTCGCAAAGCGTGGCAGGCGTGGCACTTCCTCGACACCACAGGGGGGGAGCTGTGGGTGGGGACGCTATCCGTTTCGGGCTCGCAAAGCGTGGCAGGCGTGGCACTTCCTCGACACCACAGGGGGGGAGCTGTGGGTGGGGACGCTATCCGTTTCGGGCTCGCAAAGCGTGGCAGGCGTGGCACTTCCTCGACACCACAGGGGGGGAGCTGTGGGTGGGGACGCTATCCGTTTCGGGCTCGCAAAGCGTGGCAGGCGTGGCACTTCCTCGACACCACAGGGGGGGAGCTGTGGGTGGGGACGCTATCC